AGTTGAATTGCCCGCTGAACCTCGTCGCGGACAACTTCGGATATTGACACCGAAGCCGGCTGGTGGGTAGCAGGCAGGAGCTTCTTAATTTCCTCCCGGACGACGTCCCGGATGATCTCGCGAATGCTGGAGATGCTGGAGCCAAGGTCGCAAGCGGACGGCGGAACCGCGCTGACGCCGGGTAGCCTCTGGTAGTGGCTGGCTCGGGCTTGCAGTGCACGCTCAATGTTCGTGGCCTCGGTTACAAATTCTTGAATCGTCGTCGGTGGGTTGCGTACGAGGCCACCGAAAATGTCGTCCTTCACGCCGCGCATCAGGATACGCAGCTTCTTTTCCTCGGTGGACTGAGGGTCGGCGCGGCTGCTCAGGCGGAGGACGTCTTCAACGAAGCTGGTTACCGTTTCGTTGGGCCCTTGAGTTCGTACTTGAAGGAGGTCTTCCGCTCGCTGTCGTCGTGTCTGGTTCGTTAATGTCTCCTTCAGGCCAGCGATACAGGCGTCCCACGACGTAAGCGACGCCTCGTGGTTCTCGAACCACTGCCTCGCGGTACCCTCCAAGGAGAAGTAGAGGTTTTGGAGGCGCTGCTCAGGGGTCCATCCATTATGGCGTGCTACACGTTCGTAGTGCAGGAGCCAGTCCTCTACGTCTTCGTGGGTCTCGCCATGGAAGGTCGTCGGGGTTCGCTGGGCAACAGGCAGGTAGACGACGGCGGCGGCGGTCGGGGACTGCGATTGCTGGTCGTCCATCGTCGGCCTAGTAGGCTGCCTGGTCCTGGGTGGCAGAAGTCCGTATTCCGGGCGTAGACCTTGGGTGCGACGACTGGTCCGAGTTTCAGGCTCCGCGTTGAGTGGTCTTGTCACAGGGCTTGGAATCGGGCTTGCACTGCGGGCCCTGGGAGGGGAACGCTGTACGGGCATGCGGTACCCCGCACCTCCACCAAAATGTCACGGGTGGTGACTAAAAAAACAATAAATAAACAGGAAGAAATAAACGTTTAATGTGGCGAACTTATGCCAAAAATAAAAGAGTACAAAAGATAATAATAGAGCGTCGCGGGCGTCGAAGTCGGCGTGGCAGCAGAGTCGAACGCTGGGGCGAAAACTGACTCCGGCTTGCCCGCGGAGCCGCTTTTGTACAAACGTTGGCTTCTGGAGCATTCGACGTAGAAGGTTCGACGCGTAGAACATTCTGACCTCGAATCAGCTAGACGGTTCTCGATTTCACCAGAACATCACATTACAGTGTTAACAAAAATGCATAGCCGCGGCCAGGAATCGAACCCTGGCCCTTCGCGCGGGAGGCAAGCGCGATAACCGTTAGGCTACGGCCGCGCTGCCTACTTGGCGCGCGGCAGTATTTATTACAGAAATATCAAAAATATGACCCGGATATTCATTGTACGATCCGACGTGGACACACCCCACCGTAGTATCTCAGAGTTATTTTTAAGAATCTGTATATCTGTATCAAGTTAGACTTGAAAAAAAAAAAAAAAAAAAACATTGTAACATGCGTCGGTTGCGTATGAATATTATGCCGGTGTTAGGTATTTCGGTAAAATTGCTGTAGAAGCTCAACTGTCGGGATTACACGATAAACTGAAAAAACACCTTTTTGGTAATACTGCTGCTGCGTCTGCATGACCCCATCTACTTGCTACATTCTATCGGAGTCATGGACGCCAATGTTTTTTATTCCCATTTTTTAAAGAATAGAAGAGAAATGCTGCTAACCGAAGTATGCCGTATTCAGTAATAAAAAAAGAAGCCTGGTTCCTCTATTAGTAGTTTCTTAAAACTAAATCTTTAACGAATAAACATAATTTAGGTTCTCTTCAAATCGACTAGTAGTGCTTTAGCAACTATGCGCCATCCCACAAAAAAAAAAAAAAACGGACACGAGGTTTTTTGGCGCGAAAAGACGTGACGGAAGAAATGAGCAACCGGAAAGGGGATTGTCCCGGCTTAAACGGGACGTCCGGTCGCCCTAACCATTTGGGAATACATTTTGTATGTATCTGCATCTCAGTATTGCGGGATACTTTTCTGCCATTTCTGCAGAAGTTTTTCAAGAATATCAAGTTAATAAAAAAACAAGCGTATCTCAGTATCTGCATTTTGTCCGTAAAATACACGTGTCTCAGTGTTTGTGTTCTGGAAATCTTTTTGGAGTATCTCTGCCCATCCCTACCGCGAAACAATACAGCATTGTATGTTGAAATACCGTAATATAATTAAGCTCAAACAGAAACACTTCACTGGATGCCATATTTGAGGGCGATGTTTAGAGCGCAAGCTCCGAACGAGCTCTCATTAATAGTCTGCTAAAACCGGCAACCTTGATGGTGCTGGATGCCCGCTCCAAAAGGACTGCAGAAGCTCGCCGTCAGCACGTGCTCAGCAGCAGCGCACACGGATATGGCCGTCAGTGAATACTCCCTGTATACAAAGTAACTAAGATTGGCGCACAGACTTTCTGGCCATATTCGGCAGACTGGAAGGGGGGGGGGGGGGGGGGGGCGGGAAGAGATTTTTTTTTTTTTTTTTTATAAATGACCGAACTGTTTCTTTGAGGGGGTGGAATCCATCCAAACCTCTAACCCCACTCCCCTTCGGCGCTGGGGTGGGGACCATACGAAACATTGAATTTCGGGAAGATGTCTTTGCAATATCCTCAAACAAACATAACTCATCCTTTAATTAATGCATTTCGCTACCTCATGCGGGTGGTTTTTATAATACTTAAAAGACAACATATTAATTTTGACGTACTAGATATTTGAGGGCGAGAGAAGACACGGGCATGCTCTTCAATTTAAATATTATTCAACGTTTTAATATACCATTTCTCAATTATCCAAAAACTTTGGTTATGTTGGAGGTGAAATCACATATGCTGCGCGTATTAGCTTATGCAAATGTAAAATTTCTAAATGAAACCTCTGCAAAAACACCATATTGCACTTGCGCTCGAAAACCTTATTTTAGTAATTTAGGAGGGTGCGCATGGCGCTTGCTCCTACGTTCCCAGCATATTTCTGCATTTCCGTTTTCAATATTTTGGTAAATGGACTTTCAGTGACTGATTTGCACACGAAGTGTTACATTCGTCGACAACACTATCTTAATAAAGCTTTCAAAATACACACGATTAAGCGGGCAAGTGTATGGGATGTCTGTATCGCTAATAGATAAAAACTCGACACAATGCCCTTGCTGAATCGAATAATAGTCGTCTTTTACTGCCCTCTATGCACTGAATATTTTCATAAAATGCTTCAAACCGCCAATCATTGTTTTTACCCAAGTATCATCTGTAAACTCGTACCTTTAACTGGGTGTTACTATATCATCGAATTTAACATGGAAACCTCATATCGATATAATAATCGCAAACGCTAACCGAATGTTATGATACCTGCGACGAAACTTCCGAACGGCCCCAGTTTACTTTAAACTTCTTCTTTATGACACTCTTGTACGGTCAAAAATGGAATACCCAGCCTCTATTTGGGATACTAACTACCCCTTTCTACATAAATCTCTTGAGATAGTTTGAAAAAACGCCGTTCGTTTCATTCTGTCTAATTAAAATCGAACAGCCAGCATATCATCAATGAAGTTCAGTTTGTTGTTGCCCTCTTTGTCACTGCGTAGAAAGTTTTTTTCGAGTTTGCCTGTTTCATTAAGTATATCATCATCAGTCGCTGCGAGACCATTTCTTTACATTGCCTAACTCTTACTCTTCGCGTCTGGACCATGAGAATAAAGTTGGATTAACACGTTGCCAAACAAACACTTTTTTATTAATTTATCTCGCACACGTCAACCAACTGGAACCACCTTTCAGCAGATATCGCAACTATACCCGATTATATCCTTTTTCACGAATCTTTGTTTACGTTTCTGTTCGATGAGCCAACATGAGTCAATTTATTTTTGTTTATTGTGTTCGTAACAAATGTTGCTCACAGCTTTTGCCAATCGCACTGTAGTTTTGATATTTGAATGTATACTGCTTCATGTTTTTTGTCTTGTCATTTTGTTTTATTTTTGTTTGCTTTGCCCCTCCCCTCTACAATGCTTCGGCGCTTGAGGGTATGTACCATAAATAAATAAATAAATCAAGAACATTCTCAGTTGAACAATTTTAAGCCCAATCGACTTCAACATGCAATGATAATGACACGCTTTTCCAGCCGTAAGAAAATAATGATATACGCGGTATACCAAATTATGCTGTCCATAGTGCTATCAACATTCTAAACTACGAATTAAAAAGAAGAGACATCACATGTTTAACTGAAGAGAATAAAAGCAAAACACTTTCAATAATATTTTCATTTATCCAAGAAGATATTAATAGATTTGCCATGCATCAAGGGGATGCTATCTGATACTTGAAAAAAAAATGAACATCATGATTACGAGCCAGTTAGCGTTTTTTTCACCAGGTGTGTGCACATGGCGCGCACAGAATTAGCGTCAAGCTAAACGCCGGCACATGTGCAGAGCCGAGAACAGCACCGTGTCATCAAAGCCACGCGTAGTTGTACACGCAAAAAGAGTGAGCTGTTCAGGATATTGAATATTTCTCAATATTGTCCTCGCACTAACATATCTAAAAGTAGAAATATTATGTGGTGCGAACCATCATTTGGCGCCGAGTTTATGGGGATTTTTTCTAGGTTGTTCATTACGACGATACGTGACGGATTTTATCAATGACAGCGTAAGTCAATGATGATTCATGTATGACACGAGCTTTTTTGTCAGCTGAAATAGCAGGTACTTGTCACTGCGAGCTGTGTATGAAATTTTCACGTGCCCACTGTGCACCGAGTGCGGTGTGTAAACGAGGTGCGAACTATTCAAAGATAACAAAAAGTGCCAGTATTTGACCCGGGGACAATGCAACGGGTGCAAACCATTGTAAAAAATAAGGTAATATAGACTACGTCATTGAGCATTTCAATTATCGTGTGATGAATTTTTTTTCAGATCTAGCGGTCAAAAATACATCGAAACTGCGCCTATTAGGTAGGCATTCTCTTCGCATCATGTGAGAATCTTGCTCAAGCACTATTTGAATGGCATACAGACTGATACATACAATAATTTACCTTTCTGTACAGAAAACCGACAAGTTGCACCCGCTCCCCTTATTGTCTGTGAACTCTTTATATTGGTAGATTCTGTCTATGGCATAACTTTCTCCAACTTGTTCACGTATTTAATTGCCCTACTGAATGCGGTGAGTTATCATTCTTTACAAATCTCGAACCAGACACTGATAACGAGCGGCAATGTTAAGATACGATGTTATGCAGTACGTATATTGCCCTTGCAAATTGTATTCAGAAGCGTATCTTGTGAAAAAAAAAAAGTCGCAATAAGCCCTCCATGCACCCTGTTACCCTGATAATACACATATTATTCTGGTATACATACTGTTTCACCAACGACTAAAAAAAACGAACACTTGAAATAAGTAAACGATATCTTCCGGATAGCGTTGTCGTCGCCGTTTTCCGGATAACGTCGTATTCTAGGATATAAATAATGGTATTAGAAATCATTCAACAGATATAAATAGAGAACGTCGAAAACAAAACGGGGTGAAGTAGCGGTAGGCTCACTTCCCCAGGTAGCACGTCAGAGAAACACCCAAGTGGGCACAAGCTTTGCAATTGTAGGGGCCTATTTTGGCCTAATGCTCCGAGGCGTTAGCTAGTGTCCTACTTCTTTTTTCGCGTTTCTATGACTTTCCTTTGCTTCGCCATATAATTGACGAAGTGCTAGACGTGATCCGAAAATTCCATAATATGAACCTATATCTGGCACTTGTTTGGCAAGTTAGGCCCAAATGCGTCAGGTGGTAGAACAATCACCAGCGGTGAATCCTAAATTTGGTTTTGCAAACAAGGAACAAAGTATTCAGTCTCTGCGCAAAGAAGGTAAAGTTTAGCTTTACCCTGGCTTCTTCTTGCTTTTTAAGAACCCATATTTGTAGACAAAAAAAGTATTTTAACCTTGAAAACTATGCTAACTTGTGCTAACTTCAAAAGGAATTTGCTACTTTACGGTATTCAGTAAGTTCATCAATCGCTTTCCATTTGAGTAATTTCTACACTATTCAAATCAGTTTTAAGGTAAAACTCAGTAACTTGACTTTATTACTTTTTTAGTAACTTGTAGATGTCTGATGTTTGCCATTGGTTCTCAACAATTGATGCTTCGCGGACCCCTTGTGGATCGTCGGAGATGATAGAGGATCCCGTTCCTGGGGGGGGGGGGGGGGGGCTGGGGGGGAGAAGGTTAATGCATAGGTTAATTTGATAATCATTTAATAAATGAATGTAATTAAGGGCTAGCGTAAAGAGACTTCTCTCATTGACATACACACGACACAATTTATCCGAAAAGTGGAAAGCTTCTTTTTAATCTGAAAAGAAAACAGGCTCGAGGTACACCTGTGCACTTCTTATGAGTTGGGAATGCAAAAGCATGTACATACTACTTCCTCTCCGCGTGTTGGCGTGTTGACGTTCCGTGTCTGGCGATTGGGAACCTCGTCGACGCGCTCCAGCCACTGGGACCGAAGTGTAAAATGAGCTTTGCGCGTGGTTTCATAGCTGGGAGCTGGCTTGACTTGGAGAAAGGATTTAAGGTGCCGTTTGGCGCGGTTTCAAAGCTAATGACGTCGGCGCGCTCCATGAGATAGTTAAGGCCGACGAGACATGTGACGTCACGATCCTCCTTTCCTTTCTTCTTCACTTCGTCCCCTCGAGCTGGTGAACCGAAGCGAGAAGCAGACAAGACTTCCCCTCATTCTCAACTGTTGCAGGAGGAGCGTGACGTCATAGTTCGTGCGATGCTGCGAGCGATCGTACAGTTTGGATCGAAAGCGAAGATGAACTTGATTTGATTCAATGAAAAGTGGAAAGAAACATGTAGCATCACACTAATTTTCTTTTAATGAAAATTTCTCCGTTATCTAATCCATGCGTTCAAACTAACGAGTTTATTCACAATATGAGGAACCGAAAACAATCTGTGTTATCTTTTTTTCACATGAATGCGCGCTCCATGATATCGAAAGCTGATGACGTTGAAGTTCCTCTTAGTACCATGCGTTTTTCTTTCAGCCTACTTATGTTCTCTTATACCTGGTATACTTCGGATTCATGTGACTTCGTCTTGCCTAATACAAACATTTTTTTTATACTTCGAAATTCTAGAAGTGGGGGAGGTGTTTTAATGCTTGTTAAATTATCATTGAATTGTTGCATTATTCCCAATTTTACAGAACTGAATATCTCTTTTGAATTTTTGTCAGTACCCTGGGATAAGTACGTTTTCAGTGTGTTATATCGATCTCCCTCTGGAAATGTTAACATCCTGCTTTCTGTACTTGATAAGCGATTCAGTTAATTTATTGACAATAATTATACCTTCTCCCTTTTGAGGTGGTTTTAATATTGATCTCTTAAAAACATCAGCTCTGCACGATGAACTATTTTCTGCAGTCTAATCAAATGGCATTGCATTGTTGTATTAATACAAATGCAATGAGAATAACTACAGAAAATGGCAGTGCGTTACTTGATTACTTCGTTACAAATTGCAAACAGGAAGATATTTATGCTTCACGTTTAATTAGCTACAACATTAGTGATCATTAACCCATCTCCTTCTTATTAAGACGCACTTCTCAGCTTGCAAACACAAATCAGAAGGATTCAGAATACGCAACATTACATCGTAAAGTACACATTCATTTAGGGAGTTCAGTGGTACCGCTAATCGGGACCCTGTTTAAAGACCGACCAACGAAACCATTTTGCGCAAGGTAGGAAAATGGCCCTCGCGCCCTCCTCTTTTCACCCTCTCCCGAAAATCACATGACGGCAGGGGCTTCTTTTGTGTCGGCTTTTTCTGTAGGGATAATCCTCAAAAAGCGCGAAACGAGCGGCTAGCTGCGAGCGCCACGGCGACCTTGAGACGTCCAGGTGTCTTCCCTGGTTGACGCGGGCACGCTCAATCCGTGAGATTGAGGACGCCAGCGCGACCGAACGCTTTTTCCCATGAGCTGCAGGTCCGAGGCCGCTCGGTCGGTGAAGATCAAGGGGTCGTGGTATGCTGCGTTCGTTCCAGCAGTCGCTCTCTGGCATCGCGCGGCTGCTGGAACCATTTCCGTGTCTGCACACGGATTGGCTTCCGCAATAAAGGGTTCAGGTCATCGATAATACATTTATTTACGAAACTTATAAATCAAGTGGCTTTCCCTAATCTCTTCATTACTGTTTGAAACACATCTCCTCTCATAGATTGTTCATCCCATTTTGGACTCTGCGTATTTATTCATCCTTACCTCTTCTTGATGTATGTTTTATTACTTGATAAAGACCTTCAAATATTGGCGCGGGCTTGCGCGATCAACGCTGTACCGGATTTATCCAATATTGGAAAGATTGGCGCCAGGAGGGTGGAAGGAGGGTGGAAGAAGCAAACCGAAATTCTGGCTTGTAATGAAGACGGCGCTGTCGTAAGATAGGTCTGCTTCATCCGCCTACACAATGCCCCATCGTTTGCACTATCGCAACTTCTCAGTAACATAGCTGTATACCACATTTTACTCATGGTTACTATAGATGTGGCCCCACAGGCTTTCCCGTTATGAGCGAGTCGACTTTTTAACGACTGGCGACTCTCCTGAGTGAGAATAAATATTATCACATTCCCACAACATCCACCCCTAATTTCTCTCTTCCGCCCGCCCGCCCCCCCCCCCCCCCCCCCCCCTTTCTCGAGTTGGGGACATATCACGCCAGTCCAGGAAGCAGCCTGCAGACTGCGCTTTTCGGCTACTCATTCTGAACAGATTCGAGCGTGGAAGTAAACACATTGCATGAACGACGCCTAGTTTATTTGCAATCTAAATAATGTGGCTCCACCGTTGGAACCCAATCAATTTGATCATCAATCATTATTTGTTACGATTTCATGGTGAAAGTGTGTTCGTCGTGATGCCACAAAAGCGATCGATTCAAAGGGAGAAATAAGTCCTCGTATTTATTTTGCGGAAATACTCGCTCCTGTGCCGCTCTAGTGCGTAAAGTCAGAGCACCCGAGGCAGTGCGTAATACTTTACAACTGTCGTTGGCCATGAAATATTTGTGGGAAGTGGGTAAAATTGCGTACACCACAAAAGCATATTTAAACGCAACAAAATATCGCAATTGCAAAAAAAAAAAAAAATCAGCCTGCGAAATCCGTTGCTTTCCACTTTCTCTCTCTCTCTCTCTTTTTTCGCGCCACTACAAAAATAGCGGCCGAGCAACGAAATTCTATCAAAACCTCGCTTCTTGGAGAAACGGCAACAGGCTATACAGTAGTGAATCTGACAGGGAGTTTGTACAAATAATAGGCGACCATTGAATCTAGCCTTCTGCACAAATCATGCCCGCGATATTTCCATTTTCCTTCCACGCAATTAGATGGCAAGACGCTGGGAGAATTCGTGTGCACTAACCTGCTGCTTCTAAAAGAAAGTACCAGATTTATAGTGCATATTAATTTAGATGTAAATAGTTTAATCAGTGTGCAAAAACATTCGAGGCATGGAGTATGACATGGAAGCATGGCGGAAAGCAGCTTGCTGGAAATAAAAGTCTCTATTGCATTGCACTGGTGTGAAAAATTATTCCATATTTTTGTTTTATTTCTGTGCGAAAATAAAAACAGCGTTTAGAAACCGAACACTGTGCGTTTTCAGGAGTGCCGAAAGGACATAAAAAACCGGGACAACCTGAACAATACGAGGCGCCTTGCGTCACTCAGCTTGTCCTGGTTCCTTGTTTGTTCGGAGCCTTTCAAAAGGGGATGAAAAATTATGAACCGAGTGACCCGACTTGCCACATTAGAGCAGTTCATTTCCATATACGATAGGCTGTCTTCAAGCGCCTTGCATAGTTCAGCTTGTACTGGTCCATTTTTATTTTCGGTTCCTTTCAAAAAGAGAGCTCTAAGCCACTGGACCAGACTACCACATTCATTATCTACGGAAGCGGAGAATTGGAAATGCGACAAAAGGAAAGATTCGCCCGCGTTATTTGAGGCCTATAGAAAAGCGGACCGGATAAAAGGGGGCCGAAATCTCTTTCAAGAAACACACAATCTTCTCTTCAATTCTGTCTAACAATTTGATGTGAAGGTGTACTTGGCTATGACATTATTCGTTTAGGAATCAAG